GAGCGAATTTCAGCAATAGCCAATAAACTCGATTTAAAGAAAAATGTTGTCCGAGTATGGTTTTGCAATCAACGGCAAAAACAAAAAAGGTCAGTTATTGTTTACAAATTCGAAAAATAAACATTCGTAAATAATTGCTGTGGAAGCGAATTTAACAAATAAAACATTCATGCATGAATTAAAAATAAATCAAAATTCAAAAAAGAAGGAAAACAATTATATTTTCTGAAAATTATTTAAGAGATTATCAAAATTTTACAAAATACATATATAATCATCAAACTCCCACTTTTGAATCCACAAGTTCAAAGATTAAAATAAGCAAATTTGCATCAAATTCAAAAATTGAAATTACGAATTCACATCACTCCACTGTATATAGGAATTTGAAACAATGAGGGAGAGTGAATATGATTTTGATGAATAATGAGGGGACGGGAGATTGAGTAATTTTAAGTAAATTTCAAAATAAGGTACTATACATACAAATTGCAGTACCATACATTATCGTAATCGTGCAGCTGCCGTACCGTACACCAATCCATCATCAATTTTGTAGATGTCGAAATCAAAATGTGAGTGCGCCACGGATGGTAGAAGCCAGTATCAAATATTCACCATTTTCGAGCGGTTATTTTGATTGACAATAAAATTTCATTTTTTTTCAAATACAGCGTTTTTCTTTTTGGTTGTTATTTGTGTAGCCCGTAGTATATATACATATGTGAGCCAGTGATTTCATTTCAAAATTGATGAAAGTTTTATTGAACTTTTATAAAGCTTTGATCTTAATTTTGATTCATTGTTTAATTGAAGCTTGTAAATAAAAAATCTTTCGTTTATAATCTCTTGCTCTCTTTGAGAATAATCTTGAAATTTTTTAAATTTCAATCAATTTTAATTTATTTTTTACTTCAAATTAGCACGAAATTACCATCAGGTGTTCCGTTAGTTTTGTCTTTCATAATTTCCACGGATAAAATTTGATACAGCAACCATTGAAGAAATGTAATATTGCCGGAAACTAATTACTATTGAATTTGAAATTTTCAAATTACAATTTTATATCGCTATTTCGCATTGATACTTTCGTTTTGGCACCAACGATAAGTGACTTTTGAATTAGGTTCTATGTTTTTTAGAGTGAATTTCGTAAATTTCAACATGCATTGGGTGTTATCAAAAATAACTTTGAAAATTTCAATTTTTTTGTTATCCTTTCTTCCTCATTTATTTATGTCTTATTGATTAATCCATTAAGTTATATGTGTATTTGACAAAAAATCGATTAAAGATTTCCATTCTACACGCATTTCGCTTCATCCTATGAGATGTTTTGTTAGAGTAGTAGTTCAGCATAAGTTGAACATTTTAAATTCCTAAATTTGAATTTTTCCGTGAAATAATTTCGGGATACTTCAAGAATATTCTTGTTAATATTAACTTCTTGTTAGTATTAACTTGTTGATTCTTGTTAATGTTAACTTGTTGATTTCAAATCATTTATAATATGCAGAACAGAAAAAACGAAAACGGAAAAAAAGAACTGATATGGAAGTCTCTTTTCTATCTTCAGCATTTCATTCATCCATCACATTCTTAAAATTTTTAAGAAAATCACGAAGATGAAAACAAATAAACAAAAAACTGTATTTAATCAGCAAAAAATTCGAATTTTATTTTTTTTAATGGAAATAGATTATGATAAAATTTTAATAACTTTTAAGGATTTCAAATAATTTTTCGAATTATATCTCAACCTTACCTCGCACTATAAGAATTCAAATACATTAGCATCGCTAATTGGTAATGGTTGAAGCTAATCGATAAGCTAAACTTCCAGAATGATTCAAGAGAAAATTAACAAAGATCAAAGATTATCATTAGATTACAAATGACGATTAATAGTTCTTAAGCAATCAAAACATTCCACTACGCATCTTCTTATCAGCTTGTTGCCGTCTGAATTCGCCTTTCCGGCGTTCTTTTAACTGCCGTTCCCGACCACCCGTATATTTCGATTTATGCGCTTCGTTAGAAGCACTTCCTGATGAATGTCCGGCTCTCTTTACACAGACAATGTTTTGATTTTTTTCATCGGCATTCATCAATTTTCGGTCATTCTTTAAATGTTTTTTTTGTGCGCTATCTCCTCCAAATTTTCTCTTCTCATCATTCTCTACATTATCGTCTGCTTCATCATGCATTGGTATACGATTCGTATTCGGTTCAATTCCAGCTTTTTCGATTGCAATATCACCATTGCTGAAATGTGGCAACAATTCCAAAATTGCAATTTGTCTCATGAATTTTTCGAACAGGCGATTGGAAATTTTTGAAATTCCCAACATTTCCTTAGAATTTTGAAATTATGCATGACAAAACAGGCCTATGAAAATTGGATACCTGAAGTCCAAATCATAGTTTTGATACTGATCATATGTATCATCATATTCATCATCATACATATTGTATTCCGGCGATGCTCTTTTCACATAACGATATCGTTCATAGGTTGGCCTCAGGGCAACCTTTTCAGAATCTGGCACATCAAATGTTTCAGTGAATAATGGCTTACTGCAAAAGTTTCAATGTGTTGATTACAATAAGTAATTGGGTTCAAATAAATTTAAAGAAAATTTAGTGAAATTAAAAAATAAATTCCCACTATGAAGCAGAATTAAATTCGATTCGAAATTTCATTTAGACTTCGATATAAAACTTGAAAAATTAAATTCAAAATATAAATCTCACTTTTTGATTTCCGTATTGATTTTTTTTCTCCTTAAAAATGCTTCGACACCATACTCAACTTTCATACATTCCCGACTATTATTTCCTGTTTTTGATTCGAAAGCATTTTGAGGAATGCTAGGATTAGTGGATAGCTGTGGTGGTTTCATGCAAATCAACGGGTCTGACAGTTTCGTCTCGTTCATCTTCACTTTATCGTCGGAAATTTCATCGTCTGAAGTTTTAAACACAGCAAAATTTGTTTAAAGAAGACGAAATTTCAACAAAAGCAAAATATTAGACAAAACAAAATTTGGTATGGCAACTTGAAATAAAAAACTTAGAAAACATTTGCAAGAATTTTACAATTGCAAAAATTTTTCAGCAGCAAAATAGAGAATATAAACAAGTCATAATACAATTTTTAAAAAGAAAGGAATCAACTTTTTAAGGGAAAGCTTTTTTTGTTGAAAAATAAAACTTGAAACAATTTTTAATCATTTTCCTTTCTAGCTTTTTTTCTTTACAAATTGTTTCAACTATTATTATAAAATTTTATTAAGGATGATGTTTTTCAAAGACAGAAAAAGAGAAGGAATAGATGAAGTAGCAGAAAAAGAGAGAGAGAGAGAGAAAGAGAGGGGTTGGAGGGAGAAAGAAGTGCGGAAAATGTAAGGAGAAAATTGCCTAATCATTAAAAATTCATTGGAATTCTCAAATGGATAGGTAGTCATTGGAAACAATGAAGCATTTAGTGGTCCGCAAAATTTGTACAATTTTTTTTTGCCTCCTCTTCCTTTTCCTTATTCTCATTTATTTTCCGTTTTTATTCATCACTTTTCACTTACTAAAATTAAACAAGGGATGAAAGAGAATGGAAATTGAAGAAAGGGATGACGAAGAGAGAGAATAAGGGAAATGAAAAGTTATGCATGTGGCAAGTTAACCGTTATCACCTGCAACTACAATTTATGAAAATCTATTTACCTGCTTGAAATATTTTCAGATTCTAATTCCAAAAATAATGATATAAACAATAGTGTTTTAATTTTGGACTACAATATTGGAAATATTAAAATTTGTGAAAAGATGATTTTTAGGGGGAATGAAGAAATATTCAATCAATCATTGCCTTTACAAATGTTTTAAAAAACCGAAAAATTATTAGCTAATTCAACCTAGCAAAAATTCTACAAGATTATAAGCTTGAATAAAAGTTAAAATTAAATAGTAGAAGAAAAAAGAGAAAAGAATAGAAAAAGGAGATTTGATACGTAATTCCAACATGATACTTTCACACAACCAAATATAAGAGATAAAAACCACATCTGTCACATATGAAAGACCTCTTTCATTATGATAACATGTGACAGATGAACATTCGGAGAGAAAGGAATTTACAGGAAATTTTGAATAGGTTGGCCAATTTAACGATGAAATGAATTTAGACAAAATCACTTAATGATGATCAATTGACACTAATTTTTTATGAAGATCATATATGCTCTGTGCTCTTAAAAGATTATGTTGTAATGAATGATCAAACAATTTCTATAAATTTAACAATAATACAAATAATACCAGTAAAATCATAAAAGGGAGAAGATCCGGCATGAACCATTGGTGCATTTTCCTCTTTTAATTCTACTGAAATTAAGGCTTGCAGATCTAACGGTAATTCAGTGGTATTCAGCAATGCATTTGCTGTTTGTTCTGTTTGATAACCGAAATGTCGCAGGCATAACTAAAAATCAAATAATTCAAACTTTAAAATCATATATTTCAAAAAAATAACAAATTTAAGCTTATCGTTATCTTATCCAAACAATTGGAGTTAATTTTTAGTGTTATGTTCAACTGTGAATGATCAAATTATGGCAGAAATATATCCATGAAGTTTATTAAAAATTCAAGTGAATGTCTGTATTGTGAAAAAATAAAAACATAAAAGTCACATCTTGTATAATAAAAT